TCAACAACAATAACAGATACACCTTCTGCCGATTATCACACTGAATGAGCAGCTATTATGTGAGTCGAAGCGAATTGTTGCTTTGTGAGGCCTCACGTTACACATCATGGCCATACATTCCCCAATTCAAGTACGTCAACGTTGAACGAGCATGCGGCCCCTGCTGTTCACATGTCAGCGATACGTTACAGTTTTCTCTACAAGTTGCACCGAAAAATGTGGGATTAATTCCTTGCTTAAGGGCATTAACGAATTTTATTTATTTTTTTGTTGCGATTTCTGCACCTCCAGAGTTCGAAGTCGACCACTTTCCAACTTTGTCACTGCGTTCCTCAAGAAGACAAACTTACTAATATCTAATGGGCAGTCATCACACTATTTACAAAGAACAAAATAACTCGAGTAGCAAACTCTTTGCGATCGTTCCAGACTCATTAACCAGAGTCTGCATTCGAGTTGTCAGTTGATTCCTTAGCAGCGGCGAATTTATTGCTCTAGCGGAAATGAGTTGGGCAGAGATAAACTATCACTGGCAACTTACCAGTCAACTAGGAACAATGAAATCCGTGATTTCAACAGTCAACGCTGCAGGAGGTGAGCTCTTTGTTGCATGCTGGAACGTCTGTTACTTGTCCAGCGAAGGCAAGTTAGATGGTGTCTGCCTTACTGCCCTTTGGCATAAACTCGATGTACTGACGTTCATGGAAGCCTGCCTTCCGGGGAAAGGGAAAGGGACGCTTGTCTTGAAGGGTTGGAGGTAATTTTGGTGGTCGGTCGGGCCACAGTAGATTACTCCGCGCTTGAATTGGTTTCTTATCTCTTGGGGTATGCTGAGCCGTAATTTAAATGGGACTGGTGTCGAAAAATACCCTGGCCTGTTGCATAGTGCATAGAGGCGACACTAAATGTCATCTTCGCCTCTGCTCCAACAAATATGACGAGTTACGGTAACAAAGACACATTTTACGACTGCTGGAAGTCAGCTGTTAGCGCTTTATCGCCTTACAACATCAAAATTTTCACATGTGACCTCAGTGTGAAGGATGGTGCCTAGTACAATACATAACCAAACATATTCTGCCCTCAAAGTTTTGACAGCATGAATGAAAACGGGAGGAAAATGTTTAGCTTTGCACGACGAACAGCTCAATTGTCAGCGTCAGGATTCTATTCCTTCATAAGCCAATTCACTGAACATCATTGATGTTTTCAGATGAAAGTCTAAGCACCCAGCCTGACAACGTTGTCGTCAGTTGCAAATGGCGCGACCAGCATCATGCGCAGATTTGACGTACGTCATATGGCCGTAGCGGACCTTCTGAAATTAATAGAAACGCCGTAT